TTGGGGAGGAACTCGACGGTTTTGGGCTTGGGGCGGCGCCCCATTGCCAAAACGATCGAGTTACCTCCGATTTTACCCCGGCGACGGTGTGCGGACGAAAAATACCACAGCGTAGTGAGAGCATGGAGCTACCATCTCAGCGCGCTGCGAGCGGTGGACTTGCTGCGCTGCATGCCTGACCTCACACCCATTGCGAGGGTCGTTTCTGCGCTCTGGCCAGCGACGAAGTCGAAAATTTCTCCCGTGCTGCGCGCGGGGCGGGTGCGGCGACTCTGTGGCAGCGGCCTCTGCGGCGGTGGCGACAGCTGCGCAGACGGCGAACCGACGGAGCAGGACATGCGCCGCGACTCCCTGTACGGTGACCGCATCATCGCGTCGCGCCACAGCCTCAACCCGCTGCGCACGGTGGATCCCGTCGAAATTTTTCTCCCGCGCTTCGCGCAGCGAGCAGGTGATGGAGACGCGCATCGGCGCCTGGGCGCTACGCGGCTTCATGGAGTTGTTCTAGGACCTCTTCGACAATGCCATGGACCTCTACACCGCGCTTCTCTCCACGCGCGCGCGTGAGACGACGACGACGACGACGACGACGCCGCCGCCGCCGCCGCCGCCGCCGACCGGCCGACCGACCGGTGCCGGGGCCGACCTCGTAAATGGCGTCCCTTGGCGTCTCTGGCTTTGGCCCTGCGTTCCCGGGGCAATACCCGGCGTCCCCGACGTCGTAGCGACCGTAAAAGTACTTTTCCCGATTCACGACGGTGTTGGTTGGCTTTTTGGGCTCTCGACCCCGCGCCGTCGCCGCGGGGGGCGCCGTCGCCGCGCCGCGCGACGAGGCCGCGGAACGTCGCGGAGTCGCGCCCGAGCGCCTCGATCGCCGCCGCGCCGCGCGGCGCGAGCGCCGCCCGCGCCGCCGCCTCGACGGGTCGTCGGTCCACCTGGAGCCGGCTCGTCAAGCGCCAGGCATCGCCACCCAGGACGGCGAGATCGTCGAGGAGCGCCGCCCGTGGGTCGAGCGGTGCGCGGTGCAGAGCGAAGAGCACAGCGGCCAGGATGCCGCAGACCCCTGCTTGGAACAACGGCGACTTCGCCATAATCTCTCGCAAGTGCTCGCGACTATTGCCGGCACGAGGCGTCGCGCGTCAACCGCCCGAAAATCCCCTGGCGCCGATTCAATGGATCGAATCGTTTTGTCAACTTTTGAGATTATTTTCGCCACTTTTTTTGGCGATCTCAAGAGCTTTTGTGCGCGCAGTCAAAGGGTTCCAAGATCCCGCACATTGGGCTCTTCCAGCAGCGGCGCTTCCATGACGCCTCCTCGCGCTACCTCTTACGACCCCGCCGCGAGCTCCCGCACGGCGGCGGCGGCGGCGCGCGGGTCGTCCGGGTGGCGGGAGAACGCGGCCTGGAGCTGCGCGACGGAGAGGCGCTGGCCCGCGGCGGCCGCGGCGATGGCCGCGACGTCCGCCGGCGTCGCCGCGTCCGCGTAGAAGTGCGCCGCGTAGCGCCGCGCGGCGTCGTCCGTCGCGTGGCCGAATTCCAGCTTGTAGTCCACGCGGCCGGGGCGGACCAGCGCCGGGTCCAGCCTCTCCGGGTGGTTCGTCGTCAAAAACAAGAGCCGCCCCTCCTGCGCGAGCGCGCCGTCCAGCGCGTTGAGCAGGCCGCTGAACGTCAGGCCGTTCGCGTTCCGGCCCTCGCGCGCGGAGAAGGCCGCGTCGACGTCCTCGATGAGCAGGATCGACGGGCTCTTGGCGTTGCGTAAGGCTTCTGCGAACGTCGCGTCGTTGAGCTCGTCCAGCGCCGGCGAGACGACGTAGAGGCCCCGCAGGCCGTGCGTCCGCTCCAGCTCCGCGGCGATGGCGAGCGCCGCGGACGTCTTGCCCGTGCCCGGCGCGCCGTGGAGCAGGTAGCCCCGCCGGTAGGGGATGCCGCGGCGCGCGTAAAGAGCCTCGGACGCGAGGAACGTCGCGCAGTCGTCGCGCAGCGCCGCCGCCGCGTCGGGGTCGTTTAAAACGACGGACGCGAGCGGCCGGGCCGCGCGCGTCGCCACGAGCGCCCAGGAGCCGTAGTCCTCGAGCGCGTAGACCGACGTCGTCCGCCGCCGCGTCGACGCGTAGTGCGCCCTGGCCGCGTCGACGACGGCGCGCAGGTCGTCCTTGCTGCCGCCCAAGACCCAGAGCGTGAGCGACTCGCGCTCCTTCGACGACTTCGCGTCGTCGTCGCTGCGCTCGCGGCGCAGGAGCGCCCACTTCCGGCCGAAGCGGAGCAGCGACGACCCGGACGGGAGCAGGTAGACGCCCTCGTCGCCGCCGTCGTCCCCCGTCGCGCCGAGGCGCCGCAGCGTCGTCGTCACCGTGTAGGCGCGGGCCTCGCCGACGACGCGCTGGGACGCGAGCCACGAGACCATCCAGCGGTAGCTGTCGTCGCGGCTGTCGAAGTCCGCGCGCGCGACGAAGCGCCGCAGGAGCAGCGCCGACGCCGACGCCGCGGCCTTTTGCGTCAGCGCGAGGGCCGACCCGGCGACGAGCACGGTCAGGCCGCCGGAGGCGACGGCGTTGCCTTGCAGGTAGGTGGACAGGACGTCGACGAGGCTCGTGATCGTCCGGCCGCCGCCGACGCGGCCGGAGACGCGCTGCGACGCCAGGGCCAGCGACATGCGTGTGCTCCTGCGACGCGTGCGATTGCTCTGCTGCGGTTGTCGCGCTGCCTGCGGCTGCCAGCGGCGGAGGCGCTCGTGCCTGAGAGCGCTCTCCGCAAGCCTCAAGGAGGCTTCAAGGTGAGCTGCAACTTGCACTGCCGGACCTATTCTAGAACTTTCTTTTTTAAAACTAGGTATATGACGTGGGAGGAGCCGCATGCACGGGAGCGCACACGGCCTTGAAGGCCCCGCCCGGAAGAACACTGGCTGTTTTTACGGCACCTCTACGCGCCGCGGATGTCGACGAGGTCCGCGTCCGGGGACCGGCGGAGCGACGCCGTCGCGTTGCCGTATAGGAGCTCGTGGCACGTCGAGGCCGCGTCGCCGTCGAGGAGGAGGTAGAGCTTGAGCGCACCCACGGGCTCTCCGGCGCGCCGATCTTCATGGGGCAGTCGTGGCCGCCGTCGTCGACGAGGGGCTCGCGCGCGCCGTCGTCGGCACACGCGGCCTCGGAGAACTGGACGAAGGCCGCGGTGCCGTTGGCGCCCTTCTCGTAGCATCCGTGCTCGTGCGGCGCGGTGTGCGGCGCCGGAAGGAACGCGCCGTCGTTCGTCGCCGTCGTCATCAGCAGCGGGAACTTGGACGTCAGGGAGCGCATGTCCGACGGCATCCACGTCGCCGGCCAGGGCGGCGGGCCGAAGGGCCCGCAGATGCCCGGGTGCTGCGCGACGACGAGCCGGTAGGCGCCCGCGCCCGCGGCCGCGCCCGCGGCGATCGCGCACGTCGCGCCCATGCTGTGCCCGGCGACGGCGACGCGCGCCGCGTCGACGCGCGCCCGGAACGGGCCCTCGAGCGCGAAGGCCACGGCCTTCTTCAGGTAGGCGCCGTCGGTGTTCGTGACCCACCAGTGCTCGTCGCCCTCCGGGCTCTCGATGAACGGGAACACGACGGCGAGGCCGTGGGAGGCGTAGATGCGCAGATTCTCGGAGTAGAAGCCCCACTGGCCCGTGGACCCGTGCATGAAGGCGACGACGGGCGCCGGCGCGTGTGACACAGGCAGCCAGCCGTAGAAGATGGTCCCGTTCAGCGTCTCGTTGAAGAACTCGACGGCGAACGGGCCGTCGCCCGCCATCTTCTCCGCCGGGTCGCAGTCCGCGGCGGCGGCCGCGGACCCGAGCCACGCGAGGACCACGAGCGCGAGGCGCTGCCCGCCGACGAACGCGCTTCCCATCGTGGTATTCCGGCCCGAAGGAATGCGTCACCTCCTGGTCAACATGACACTCAACATCAGCGCGGGGCGCATCCCCGGGTCAACATGGACGAAAGGAGCGTCCGATGAAAGAAGCGGTTACGCGCGCTCGTCGAGGACTCACCGCTCGGAGGGCGTGTTCCTCCGCACGCCGCCGGCCGCGGCGGCCGCGCGGCGCTGGAACGCGTCGAGCGCGCGGTCCATGGCCTCGTAGGCCGCCTCCATCTTGTCCGGGTCCTCGGCCGCCGCGGCCTGGAAGGAGGCGGCCTCCTCGGGGCAGACGACGGACGCGACGCAGTGCTGGAGGCGGATGGCCGCGTCCGCGCACGCGGCCTCGTCGTCGCCGCAGGCCGCGAGCCGCTGGAAGTTGTCGGCGCACTTCTTCGCGATCTTGTCGTTGGCGACCTGGACGAGCTCCGCGTTGAGCTGCTGGACGTCGTCGACGGGCGGCGCGCCCATGCCCGCCGACGGGAAGAAGGGCAGCGCGGGCTCCACCTCGCCGCGGAGCCGCTTCAGCGGCATCGTCGCGACGCGGTCCCAGAGCGCCGCCGGCGAGTCGAGGGCCGGGCGCACGTCGAGCAGGATCGACTTGACGGCGCCGACGTCGTGCATGGTCTTGGGCGTCTCGTCGCGCGCCGTCGCGGCCTCGTCCGAGTAGTAGTCGATGACGTAGCGGACCTCCGCGCCGTCCCCCCTAACCACGATCCAGTCGTGGCGGTCGAAGGGCTTCGGGTGCCCAAAGAGCTGCTTGAGCCAGGCCTTGGGGCTGTGCTCCGTCGGCCGCCCCGTGAACCGCGCGAGCCGCGGCGCCGCGGCCGCGCCGGGGTCGCTCAGCGCCTCCCACTCGAGGATCTTCGCCCACGTCGCCTCGTTCATGGAGTTGTGCACGGCGATGACCGTGTCCATGTCGCCCTCGGACGCGCCGCCGACCTGCCCTGGGGATCCTCAGAG